AAATGTGCCCTTTCTTCCCAGTGTCTCGGACAAGCATGTATTTTGGATTACTTGGATTTGTTTTGGGAGGAGTTGTGGGGGTTGCTGTTGGCTTGTCGTGGCAGAAGAAACAACCACATGTCCCACAGATGAAAGCAGTAGTCTGTAACAGTTACAGAGGATCTGATGTGAGTCTTTATTTAATGTATTCATAGCATGTAGAACAGTGTACAATACGAGTACAGGCAATTACTAACACAATTTTTTTGTTCAAGGCTTTGATAGTAATTGAAGATGTCCCTGTTCCAGTTATCACAGTGCTAGATGAAGTTCTTGTACAGGTGAAAGCTGCATCAGTTGATTTGGTAGACTTAAAAATATGCTCTGGTTATGGTAGAGTACTTAGAAAACAGCTGAGTCGATACAATAATGTAAGTAGTGATTTTGTGTAATTAGTATAGCTAAGAATATAGATTGCTTAAGGACAAGTTACAGCAATTTGAAATTATAATAATTTGCAACAATTTTTTGCAGTTGGAATGATATAGAGGTTTAAGTCAGCCATGCACATGCTATATCCTATGCTTCAGCATGTCTTGTGCCAGAATCTAAAATTTTGATGAATTCACAATGAAATTGTAAAAATGCACCCAGTAGCTTCACAATTTTTATCTGTTTGTCCATGTACAGCAACAGTAGAACTGCTGAGTAAATTTTCATTAATTTAATTCAGGAGTACCATTGAATGCAACAAATAGTATAATAACCCATTGATTAAACACCATATAGTCCGTTGAAAGTCAACTGATATTTCAGAGGAACATTCCCTCCATCTTCAAGGTCGAATAGGCCAACCAAGATACCAGCATGGATGTGGACAGCAAGGTGAGTAATCAGCTAGCTGGAAATTTTGGATTATATAGGAAGCAGGAAGGAAGTGGAAGCATGAGCCTCAATTCCCATTGACTTGCCGTGGGTCAAAATTAAAGTAACTTTGCGACTGTCAGTCAGTCAGTCCGTCCATCTTGGTGTTGAGACCATGACCAGATATTAGTTTCTCTTAGACATTTATGGTTTTATCCATCTGAGGCACCCTCTGTGATAAGAGGACAGGTCTCTCGCTTGTCAGAGTCATAGTCAGTTACATTTTACATGTTATTACAAGGTAGTACACAGTGCATGTATATACAAGGTGTCCCAGGAGGAATGTGCCAAACTTCGGGAGGGTGTTCCTTATGTTAAAGTATGCCGATATAACCCAAAACACCTATGTCAAAAGTTGAACGGTTACAGAGATAATGGCCAGAGAAGTGTGAAACTTTGACCGGTGTTACACACTTGTTGATTACAAAATACATACGAGGGGCGTTCAAGTTCTAAGGTCTCCAATTTTTTTTCTCAGGACTGGGAGCAGATAGACACATGCGGTTTTGTTTAAAATACGTGTGCACTCTTTGTGAATGCGTGACAGAGATGGCAGAACTCTAGTGGTAGCGGCGAGTGTGAGGAGTGTTTTTGATACTTACAATGGCGACGTTTTCGTTACAAGAACAGCGAGTAATCATTCGTTTTCTCCACTTGCGTGGTACGACACCCATTGAAATTCATCACCAGTTGAGTGAGACATGTGGTGATGGTGTCATGAATGTGAAAAATGTGCGTTCGTGGGCGCGACAGTTCAAAGAAGGCCGAACGTCGTGTGACAACGAACCAAAACAATCTCGGCCTCGCACCAGCCGGTTTGACAACATGGTCGAGCGAGTTGAGAATGTTGTTTTGGAGGATCGCCGATTGAGTGTGGAAAACATCGCCCCCAANATGCCGTTTTTCAATCCGCTATTGCATCAGCAATTTTCCAGTGGTCAAAACAGACTCCTACAGAAGCGTTCGCAGCGGCCATGGAATCATGGTGTCGACGTTGTGAAAAATGTGTACGGCTGCAGGGAGATTACATTGAAAAGTGACAGAAGTTTCAAATTTTTTGTATGATTATTGTGTGAGAAAAAAAATCGAAGACCTTAGAACTTGAACGCACAACGTATTAAAACTGGCAGGAATATGTGGTTTCTGTAATGTTAATAATGTACGTAACATCAAACTAACTTGTGAGTGACATGAAGCCATTAAATTGAACTACAAAAAACTTGCACGCCGTGTCAAAGTTGTCGTTAAAGGTTCCAAGCACTATACATGACACATGAATGGCAAGCGCTGACGTAACATTGCTGACTGCGCATTCTGGTATGTGAGTGTATGGGGCTAACGTGAGCTGCCATCACCACAGTCAAGGACAAATGTAGATAAGACATGCCAGCTGACTGGTACAGTGCGTGAACTCGCCAGAAGACCACACTTTTCTCGGGCCATTATCTCCATAACCATTCAACTTTGGACATAGTTGTTTTGGGTTATATTGGCATACTATAACATAAGGAACACCCTCCCGAAGTTTGGCACATTCCTCCTGGGACACCCTGTATATACAATGTATACAATGCCTCTATCAGTCCAGACTGAGGACAACAAATCATTCCCTATTTTAAGTACCTCACACTACAGTGGCAACCTAGTCACTTGAACAGTCATATGCTTAACTGCTGGCGAGTTTAGGTCCCTTATATTTTCTATGTCAGGCTTCACCTTGTCCAATATTGCAGACATTGGCATTTTCATGATTTTCTATGACTTCTGCTTGTTGCCTGCATAATTTTGTTATATAATCATATACATACAGAAGTTTGAAAGCCATGTGCAAATCGCAAACTGGTGTGCACCTTGGAAAATTACCAGTAGTGCAAAGAACCTTGTTTTGCAAGTGCCGCAGTTTTACTAGATAGTTAACGTACAGAAAATTTCCAGGTGGGGCAAGCATAAGCCATTGTAGACCTAATGAGTGCTTTGTGGAGGGTCAGTTTAATGTTAGCACTCAATTGCTCACTTCTGAATAGGGAATATACTGTAATAAATGTTCTGAAGGCCTTGGCTTCAATCATTTCTATGTAAAGTCTCCATATAACTCTCCTATCAAAAGATTACACCGACATATTTATACTATTTACAAATGGAATTTTCCATCCATTCAGTGTAAGATGGGACTCATGTGATCCATGTCTATGAGGGGAGTAGATCCCCTGTGTCTGTTCCTCATTTATTTTAATGTTCCAGCACTTACACCATGTCTCCACTGAGCTGAGACTGTACTGCAGTTTTCTGACAATAAATCCCTGTAGCAATCTGTCATACAGACAGGTGTTGTCGGCAAAAGGGGGTAGATGAACACCAGGTGTTTGGGGGGGGGGGTCATCAATTATGTGCATAGTTCACGGTGTAGGGGACAGAATGGAACCTTGAGGCACCCCTGCTTGCATTTCCCTTTCTGCAGACAGTTTACTTTCTTCTCAAACTGAATTTTCTTTGTGAAAGAAAAGCTCTAATAAGCTTCATCAAACTAGTCAAAAATTTCAGTTCTAATAATTTATATAGCAAGCCAGTGTGCCATCTAGTATCAAAGACTTTGATATCCAAGAATATCACAACCATAAACATATTGTTGAAATTAAGGGTCACATGGTCATTAGCTTCATATGAGGGTTATTCAGGATGTAACCTCTGGTGAACAAGTGGTTAGTCGCTGGCTTACCACCGCGGCGGCCTGGGTTCGATCCCGGATCTGGTCAAGTGTGATTTGTGGTGGACAGAGTGGCGCTGGGGCAGGTTTTCTCCGAGTACTTCGGTTTCCCCTGCCAATCTTCATTCCACCAAATTTTCCATCATCATAATCACCCGGGGCAGGCAACAATAGGCCAATCAGTGGCCACTCTGCCAAGTGGACCCAGTTGGATTCCACCCCCCACTAAGCGAAAAATTTTAACCTCTGGTGAACCTTCAACAAAACAAGCAATGAGAAAAGGTTTTTATGTATATAAAAATATATACACACATGCATGCATGCACATAAGCTACTTCACAGTGTAGTCACTATTGGAATTGAGGCACTTTTCGTATTGAGGAATAAGTTTTTATATGCCTGTATCAGAGATGTCTGCTGCCTGTGAGCTGAGCCATGTTTTGACACCTTCCATTAACTCATCGTTGTTGAAGCACCGTGATCACAACCAGTTCTTGAGGTAGGTAAACAGGTGGTAGTCACTTGGAGCAAGATCAGAGCAGTAAAGAGGGTGGTCAAACAACTCCCAACTGAAATGCTCCAGTAGTGTATGAGTGCAAGCAGCTGTATGTGGACGCGCATTTTCATGGAGAAGCACTACACCAGATATCAGTATTCCACGCCTTTTCTGAATGACCCTATTCAGTTTTTTAGTGTGTTGCAGTACACTTGTGATGTTATTATGGTCCCTTGTTGCATGAATTTCACTATCAGCACTCCTTTCCTCTTCCATAAAACAGTTGCCATCAGCTTTCTGGCAGGCAGAAACGTTTGGTTAAACTTTTTTGGCTTGTTTGGAGAATGTATGTGCATTCATTGCTTTTACTGCTCTTTGGTTTCATCACCTGTTACTCATACGATGTGACTGAGAAATTCATTGCCATCTTTGTGGTATCACTCTAAAAAAAGTCAAAGCCAAAGCCATTCTCTGCATATTGTGTCCACCCATGAGCATATTTTGAACCCATCTTGTGCAAAATTTGTGGAAATTCTCATGAAAGTTGCAAATTTGTGAAGTGCCATCTTTCACAAATTTTTTGGTCAATGCTTTGAACAGGGTCATCACTCACTACAGATGGCCAGCCAGTCACTTTGCTTTTCAATGTGAACATTTGTTCACCCATCTTTGAACATAATACACCATTGTTTTACAGTTCCTTTACTTCTTATATTTTGTACATAAGCCACACACAATTTGTGATAGACTTCCACAGCATTCATGTTTCCAGCATGAAGAAAGCAGATATCAGTACAAATTTTGCAGCAGACAGGATTATTAATCATAGGACACACCATAATTCATTCTGTAGAGGCAAGAACTAGCATAAGTGACCAGTTTTATGATGGTTTTCAAGGCAGTGTCTCGTATGATGCTATATCGCATGCACACACTCTCCCCCACTCTTACATTAGTTGCCAAAAATAAATTGAGGTTACTTTCCGAATAGCCCTCATACATTAGGGTGTCATGTTGTGACATTCACAGAATCCAAATTGACTTGCATTAAGCAGGCCTCTTTTTTTCAGTGTGCCTTTGGACTATTTTTAATATAACCTTCTCAAAGAGCTTGCCTGTCATGGACAAGAGGCTAATTGGATGTAAATTTGGAGGGAATTTAGGGTCCTTGCTGATTTCAGTGAGGTTATCTTTTCTGTTTCCTTCCAAGATGTCAGAAAATGTGAAAGCCAAATGCAGTGATTAATTGTGTTAGGTGTATCAGTGGTCTTCAGAGGTGTTTGAAGCATTCATTTGTAATGCCGTCAGTTCTGCAGGCCTTTCTCAGTTTCAGAGAATTTATTAATTCTGCAACTCACACAGTCTTAATTCTTTCAAGGGGGTTGTTGTCTATAACTTCAAACAGAGCTTCAACTCTTAGCCTCCGCCCACTGATCATGGTTTTCATCACACAGCTCATGGGGTGTGAACTGTTTTCCAAACAGTCAGAAATTGCATTGGCTTTCTGTAACAGATTAAATATAAGGCCTAAAGGACCATGCATAGCAGTTGACACCTTTAGTTCTTTACAGCACGCCATATAGTCTGACCTGTGACCTCAGTTACCAATTTTCATTTGTCACCATTGAAGTGGCTTTCTACAGGTCATTCATCTGATTGTTTTCATGACCCAATTAACTGCTGTTTTTCATGCCACAATTTTCTTAGCCCATGCTTATATTTTAATGAATGATCTAAACTAGAAAGATCATTGTTTATGTCTGAAAGGGTAACCTTACTTGTCAACAACCTATACACCAATGCAATAGAGACTGTAAAGTCATGGGCTGCTTTATCGGCTTCTACTGCCAAGTTAATTCTGATTCTAGGTGATATTAAATCAGATGTGAGGCTTTGAAACCATTCTCAAACTGAATTTTTCAACAGGTTCTGAAAGATTCGTAGATTTCACATGATCCAGTATGCGGTAGATGGTCTGAGTCCAGGATATCAGAAACATTGACATCTGACACTCTGATTTTCTGATGGATCACAATATCCAGTACATCGCCATTTCCAGGAGGGCAGTAATGAATGGGGCATTGTGATGCTAAAATTTCGAATTCATTGAAATCAAATAATTCCATGAGTTTTCTTGCCTCAAGGATTTGAAACTGCACTATTCCAAAATGGATGTTAAGCATTCAGTTCACCTGCCAATACGCACTTATGTCTAAAGCTTAAGAGCTCAGTGATGCCTGCATCACTGCAGGCATGACTTGGAGATTTATAAACACTTGCAAGTAATATCTGTATGCAGACCCCTGTGGCTTCTACTGAAACAAGGGGGGGGGGTCTGCATGGTAGTAGGGAATGCCTTTTCTTAATGCATTGGCAGCTCCTCCTTTCCTACCCGGAAAACATTCAGTAAAATAGAAGTGATAATTTGGACTAAGAACCTCTTATTTAGTTTGAGATGTGTCTCTGAGAGCAGCCTCCATCACATGAAAGCAGATCTTGGTTCTCTGCGGGGCCACGGAGGTCCATGCACACTGTCCTCATCAGGTCACAAAATATTCCCTCTCCAAGCACTCATCAGCCTCCACCTTCATGTTCCAGCTTTCTTCTGCTACCTCTGCACCCACATTGCCCACTGCATGCCTGGAACTCACTCACTTGTCCTCTCTCCCTCACACCTCGGTTCCCTGTCCAACACACCCTTACACTGTTTCCCAAACCAGCAAATTGTCCCATTTCAGGGCCTCATAGACNTGAAACAAGGGGGGGGGGTCTGCATGGTAGTAGGGAATGCCTTTTCTTAATGCATTGGCAGCTCCTCCTTTCCTACCCGGAAAACATTCAGTAAAATAGAAGTGATAATTTGGACTAAGAACCTCTTATTTAGTTTGAGATGTGTCTCTGAGAGCAGCCTCGTGGTCTCATTCTGTCCCATGGCAAGCCAATGGGAACTGAGGTTCACTGTTCCATTTCTCTCCTGCATCCTATATAATCTGAAATTTCTGGCCACCTGTTTTCATGCTGGCATCTTAACATTGCTTATATGAACCTGAAGATAGAAGCGATATGTACCTCTGAAATGTTGGTTGACTTTCAACAGACTACGTGGCATTATATCCAAGAAGATAAGACTCTTCATAACCACTGCTGTGAGAACGTCAAATTCTACAATTTATTTGCTGTAGCTGATGGTACTTTTTAATTAAATATATGCACAATACATGGGTAATAATGGCATCTGTAATATTTTCATGAAATCTGATATGAGTATAGTGCAGTTTTGCTAAAATTTGTCAGCACATTACAGTTTGGTATTGGGTTTTCGGACTTTATCCATCATCCTGGTTTTTAAGATAACTAAGAAAAACACAATGTTTCGGAAACTGGATCTGTTTCCATCCTCAGCTGAAGGAAAACACCTATTCTGTTGGGTCCCTTAGGAAGAGCTAGCCTCAATCACTGGATTGAGGGACCCAACAGAATAGGTGTTTTCCCTCACCTGAGGACAAACAGATCCAGTTTCCGAAACGTTGTGTTTTTCTTAGTTATCTTAAAAACTAGGATGATGGATAAAGTCCAAAAACCCAAAATCTCTGTGTGTTATACACCATCGTCAGACTCCTGTAGTAACTACATTACAGTTTCATTTAAAAGTGTGCAACAATAACAGACACTTTACGTGAAGGCCTGCTATGTGTTTCCTTGTGCATATTTAATGAAGTAAAAAGTGCTGTGAGCAGAATTGTAGAGAAAAAACTTTTTTTGCCTAGCACACTTTTTATATGTAAAGTCTTATGGCTCTGATGATAATTAAAAAGCTGAACATTAGCCATGAGTGAAGGAGGCAGGTGTTTGTGATTCATCAGTGTAAAATTGTTGCCCCTCCCCAAATGTTACAGCCATAATACAACCCATGGATGAAGGTATTAGAATGACTGATGCAAATATCAGTGGTAACACAGAACAGAGAGCTGAAGAACAGAATGGGAAGGGTGACAATATAGAAGAAGGAAACTGAGCTAGTATTGCAGTATTTTAACAGTTTTGTAGACTACTGGGTGAGTGGGGCTTTGGATACATTTCAAACTATCATGAAGGGAAGTCTGAACAACTCATAAACACAAGCTGACACTGAACTATTTTTTTTTTAAATTGTATTAACCTAGCATGTAAGAGTGGTTAAGAAATAAATTAATTGTAGTTTGTGTTATGCCTGTTTTCATGAAAGAATAAACTATATTTTGAATTCCTGGAAAGACAAAGTCATATCTTGATATAATTTTCCACTTCATGGTACAACTGTGATGTTAGTTTTTATACCTAATGTACAGGAGTTTATAAATTTAATCGGTTATGAACTCTGTCCACACATTTTGAAGTACAGAATTTCAATGAATGAAATGTAGTATGATCATATATTTACCATTCTAGTCTAATGGGTAGCAATAGCAACAGCAGATAGAAATAATTTATCAGATTTTATTTTGGTTAAAATTTTCAAATTACCTGATGTGTGCAGAAGTTGATATTTGTGCTGAAGACAGAACTATTAATTATTATTAACTATTAAGCATCTCCAAATGGCTGCACAGTTTAATACATGTACAGATTTCAGACAAATTAATGCAAATTAATGCTGGAGTGATGGGCTTAGTCTGCTCAGGAAATTATGTTTGTGTTGTTTTTTGCGTACCTGCCTCCCATACGTTAATGGCTTAAGAATCATCTTGATTCCCAGAATTGAGCAAACCCAGGAAATCTGTGGAGAGTTAGCCTGAAAAGGAAATTAATCTTCTATATTAAACTAGGCACTGATCTTGATATTTGTTGTGTTGTGACGGTTGTAATAAAGAGGTTGTATCTTCTGTATTATAGTCACTCAGGGTATTTCTTAATGTTTCATTTAAATAAGCTCATGTGAAGTAATTGGAATCAGCAATGGGCGGGATGGCTGCAGAATAAGGGGTGAGGGGACAATTCCTGGCAGAGGCAAGAGATTTTTTCTCCTCCACAGCATCTGAACCAGCTTTGGTGCCTGCCCAGCCTTCTGTTTGAGAAGGCAGTAGGGGCATTTACCCCAAGGTAAAACAGGGATGAATTTTTCTTTTTATTGCTAGTGGGGTAAGACTAAGTCCCTTGTACTGTGGCCACTTCTGGCCTATTGTACCATCCCCGGGTGATTGTGGAGCAATTGGTGGAATGAAGATTGGCAGGGGAAACCGAAGTACTCAGAGAAAACCTGCCCTAGCGCCTCTTTGTCCACAACAAATCCCACTTGAGCAGACCCGGAATCGAACCCGGGCCGCCGCAGTGGGAAACCAGCGACTAACCACTTGATCTATGGCGTGGCCCAAAGAGGGATGAAACCGACCACTCATTTGATCTGAGATTAACAATACATTGAGCTATACCTCCTCTCCCCCGTATGTCTTCATAGTGTACTACTTCATTAACTAAGCACAGGGACAACTTTACTTCTTTACCACATGAAATAACACTACCTTTCTTTTTTTCCAGTTATTTGCAGAAACTACGCATAAATAAAAATTTTCAAGTTAAGATTCTGAACCTGTCTATATTTATATATTTATTTAAGCATCCTGTTGCACTCCATACGATACATGATACAAACTCCGTCTTCAGTGCAAACCATATATTATAGGTCTTTCGTTTTTCTCTCCTTTACACACTACATGTTTCGGCCACAAACGGCCATCATCAGATGTATTACTCTCGTATGTCACACTGCACTAGTGTAACATTTAAAATTTAAAACCACAGGTCTCCCTGATTGTTCCTTTTGTCGTTATTACCAAAATCTACTTCGTTGATATCTTGTTATTTACACACGTTAATTTTGATTTCTCTGAATTAGCACTTATAAATATAAATATAATATTGCAATTTTTAGATTATAATCTACTAGCATGAGCTTTACTGTAGCAGATGTAAGTACTGTTTCCATTTGGGTTGTTTCAGAATGTGGTAGGTGAATTCCCAGTTGTGCTAGGGAGAGACTGTGCTGGAATCATTGTTGACATTGGTCAAAAAGTGAATAAATTTGAAATAGGAGATGAAGTTTGGTTTGCTGTTCCATATTGGATGCCAGGGACAATGGCCGAATATGTGGTTGTCAAAGAAAGGCATATAGCAAGGAAACCAAAAGGAATAGGTTTTGAAATTGCTACTAGCATTCCTTATGCTGGAACAGTTGCATGGGATGCTTTGGTTAATCAAGCACATCTTGATTCCGTGAAGACGTGTGATAAAAGGTAAGCCAAATTCATACAATCATATAACCCTATCTCTTCTAAGCCAGTCCAATTAGAGCCATTTCAGAGTTTCTAATTAAAATTCCAGCTTGGGAACAGCTGTCCACACTGAGATTTTTGATGGCTTTCCTCAGCCCCTGCAAGTAAATTATGGGATAGTGGCTTAAAATAGGCCATGACTGCCTTCCTTGATATCTTTCTTACTCACTGATCTTCTGATTGCCAATTCACAACTACAGTGATCCCATTTTAGAAAATGTTTTTAAAGATGTTTTCCAACCTCAGAAATTAGGGTCCCAAAATATCACCATAGGAATGATATATTTGAATTCTGCACTTAAAATATTTCCTGCAAAGAAAGATATCACATCTAAAAAGGGGAATTTACCAGTATGAATTAAAAATGTTATCTATGCAAGAACCATTTGTTGGATCATGTTATATGCAGAAATGATGAAGAAAGAGAAGCTGACGTTCATATAAATCAGCATCTTGCAAGTGCTCAACGAGTGGCAGAAGTTAGGCAGAACCAGTGATGATATTCTGATGAATGTTCATCTAGCACCGTTTCCATTGAGGCAAGTTTAGACAGTGGTTTTTTTTCACACCTCTTGGTGCAGATAATTATTGCACTAGAGAAAAACAAGGGGGCAAGAGTACACATCTCATTTGCCACCAATGCATTTCTTCTCGACTCTTCTGTCACAGCTAGTTTTTTGTAGGCCATTTATCAAGTCTTAGAAGTTGTTTTTCATTGTGATTTTGTTGGAATTTTTTAAATGGCTTAGAGCCAAGAGAAGAATTTAATATTCAGTGAAGATTATTGTCAGTATTTTGAGCTCTGTCAAATATATAAAGTCTGACAATAAAGTTCGCGAACTCGCCACCATGTGTTTGCTGTGGCAGTAGTGGACAGAAACCTCAGTATAGTTTGATGACGTTGGCATATCAGTGTTTCACAGCTGTGTTGTTGTTGTAGTTTAGCAGTCTCTTTCTGAGTGGCATCTATTATAGTCTGAGTGTGTTACAGTGTGCCATCGCCAACAACTCATGGATCTTGCATCACAACAATGAGCCTGCACACATGTCACTGTCTGTGAGGGAGATTTTAGCTAGTAAACAAATAACTGTGCTGGAACACGCTCCCTATTCACCATATTTAGCCCCCAGTGATTTTTTCTGTTCCCAAAGATAAAGGAAATATCATCTAGTGTACTGGTGAAGATTTTTCTTATTTCAATTATTTATTTATAAGAAAACTCCTCACTAGTCACACTGGATGGAACTGTTTAACTTTTCATGATATTATTAGTGTGATGTACCAGAATTAAACAAATCAAATAAAGGAAATATTAAAATGAAGACATTTTGATGACATTCATGAGATCAGGACTAATACGATGGCAGCTCTGAAGGCCATTCCACAAAACCAGTTCCAAATTGTTTTGAAAGGTGGACTAGGTGCTGGCATTGGTGCATAAGTTCCCAAGGGGAGTGCTTTGAAGGCAACCACAGTGATATTCAGTGGTGAGGTATGTAGCACTTTTACTGCAATGAGTTTGCGAACCTTATTGTTAGACCACATATAAGAACAATACAAAAGCAGACAAGAAAGAATTGGCACTGTAAATAAACTTGCCAGCAAATACTCAGGCTCTTCAAAAACTTTTTAAGATCCTATTTCTGCAAGGAGCATTCATAAATTGTCAATAAAGAAGAAATAGTTCAACAGCTGCCACTGTTTACATCTCTAATTGGTTTAGTTTCAAAATGAGACATGTTCAGTAAACAAGTGTCCACAAAGCTGAGAAAAAACAAAGACCTCTCACCAGAAGGGTAAAGTTAGCAAAAGATGCAAACTAAGTCATTTGGTTAACAGTTATATTGTGTGCTTTATTTTCAAATTGTGCATTCAGTTCTAGAACTTTCTGAACAGATCCTACGCCTTAACACTCATGATCATATGATACCAAGTAACCAGCTATATGCATGACATACTTGTAGTCATGCTTGTTGTTATTTTCACCATATTGCTCTGCCAGGGCATTACCACTATGTGTGCAAGCTTACTGCATGGAGTGCTGCATATCCTGCAGACTGCAGCTTCGTCATAGAGTGAAGGTTACTTTTCTGCTTGCAAGGTTATGATTTCTTGTGTTCAGATGTCCATCCAATTGAAACCTAAAAAAAATGTCAACTCAGGATGAAACCCATAGCCATGAAGTTACTGAAGATACTAGTCACAGAAATTAATTGGATTACATATCTCAGAATTGTTTGCAATTTGGTTTTGTGGTTGTCAATACTTTTCTAATGAGTCGTGCTAAATTCTCTTTCTGTTGGAGACATAAATTTTCACTAGAGCAGAGGTTCCCAAAGTGAGGATTGCACCCCTTTGAGGGGGGGGCACATGTGGTTTGTGTGAAAAGGTATTTTAAACAAAATATGGAGAAACATTTTTTAAAATCCTTTACTTGGTTGAGGTAGTTAGTTATCATACAACATTACAGATTTCAAACTCACACAGAGCATAGGCATTTGTAGGAAGTAAATGACAGTATGTATTGCTAGAGACTCAGCTTTGCAGCTCTGTGAGGAATACCAACAAATTTACTATTAAACCAAGCGGCCTCCATAGTGTAGGGGTAACGTTCCCACCTCATGACTCAAGGTACCCGGGTTCAAACCCAGCGGAGGTCGTGGAATTTTTAAGGGCGGAAAAATTCAGGGAACAAGTCCTCTGGGAGGGACTTTAAGCCATGGGTCCCGTTTCATAGATTTACAGCACGTAAAAGATCCTCATGTCTCTAGGAGACCTCTGAGCTAAATTAGGCAAAAAGTTCCCCGCCCAAGTAGTTTCCAATGCCCCTGGTAGATGGGGGAAGTATCAGGTACTGAGGGCCGACCGCGTTGGCTGAACGGGGCTGATAGCACGCACCAGTACCGGTAGGGTATGGCGACTGGTAGAATATCAAAGGGGGACGTACAGTAGACTATTAGTTGCAGTGCATGGGGAAACCCACCCCATATAATAATAAATACTGTTAAACCAACTTATTTCACTATTGTTAGGTGTTATGAAACTCCTCAAGTTGACCATTTCCACCCCTAACTTTCTCCACTTCTCTAGAGCCAGAAAGCAGAGACTTGAGCAATACAACTGATGTCACAAAACTTGTTAAGGCAACTTATTCATTGTTAGTGTAAGTTCATAAAGGCATTTATATTGTAGATATTCTTCAGTGATAAGACATAGAAGCACTTCATTTATAGAATATGATGTGTTAACATATAAACATTTTAGTTCCATAGTGTACAGACATAAAACATACACACTGTAATATTTACTACACATAATCATTACAGTCTAGTATCAATCACTAACAAGTAGTGTTTTCTGAACCATAGAACAATTCATAGTTTTTTAATGTGTATAAAAAGAGAACCAGATGATGAACCTACGGCAAACAGTAATCGGATTTGTATATCAAAACCATAAGTACCATGAATCATATTTGTCTTTTGGTTTCACAAGTGTTATAATTAAGAGCCCCATTTGTTTTGCATCTCGGTATCTTAGCAGCTGATAGTACGAAGCCAAATAAACTGAAGTAGCAGCTTGAAACAAAACATTGAGAATTGGAAAACAGGACCAAACAATACTTCCATAGAAAACTTGGTGAAATTCACATGCAGCAAAGGAGTTTTGTTAATACTACTACCATGTCATTCAAAGCCCTGTTAGCATCTTATCAAGTGTCATGGAGAATAGCACAGAACAAGAAGCCACACATAATTGCTGAAACTGTGATAGAAATGGTAAAACAATGTTCAGTGAAAAACGTGCTCAGCAGCTTCATAATATACCGCTATCAACTAGCATGGTCTCACAACGGATTGCTGATATATCAGAAGACAGAAGAACAGCTGATTGAGAAGCTGAGACACAAACGTATTTCAATACAGATTGATGAAAAGGACTGACTGTAGTGGCATTGGTCATTTGATAGCTTATGTGAAATGCACTGAAGCTGCAACAGTTAATGAAGACATGCTTTCCTGCAATATCATTGTAGTGATTGAAAGAGTGAAGGAAGTTCGGCTTCTAGGCCAGAAAAATATAAGGGAAAATTTTGGACGTTTTTTCTCATTTCAAGGGTTTTGTGGAGGAAGATCATGATGAAACATGTGACACTGGATTTGATCAATGTAAAGCTATAAAAAATAGGTAAAGCTATCCCTGTGAACAAGCCGTGAAGGCCCATAGGGTTGTGAGACATTGAGGCTCCCACATTTTGTGTAGATAATTGGCTCATAGATGGTGGTATGGTTGTCAGCCTTACATGCTGGCCATCCTTTACCTCCCAGGTCAATGTGTCAAAGATAACTTGGTTGATATGCAGTCCATGTTTTCTAAGTATTTTCCAGAAACCGTAAGTGATAAATACAAATGGATCACATTCCATTTATATTCGCCTCAAAATTATGGCCTCTCTCTCTTGAAGAAGAAAACTGTATTGACTTTATGTCTGATACTTCTTTAAAAGTTCAGTTTCCTAGGAAGTCATACATAGAATTTTGGATGGGAATTGGAGGGTAGTTCCCTCACTTTGGCAGGAAAATTCTGAACATCCTTCTTCCTTTTGCAATATTCTACCTGTGAGAGACTGGATTTTCAACAGTGACAGCCATAAAAATAAAGTATTGTTCTATGATGAACCTAGAAAACGATCTTAGAGCAGTCATTTCAAAACTCCAACCTCGGTATGAAGTTATGCCTAAAGAGCCAGCCACATCCTCCACAAATCCAGGCATGAAGCAAATATTCTACTTCAGTCCTCTAAATTAAATGAATTGAATAATATAAGTAAATTATAAAAAAGGCATATACTCATAGCTAAATTTTATGTCCTGGAATGTGGGAATGAAATTTATGAAATGTTTTAAGGGGGGATACAATGTATAAAAATTTGGGAACCTCTGGACTGGAACATCACATG